AGAGATCCTCCTTCCTGAAATTTTCTTATCTCATAAGGACACCAGTCACGTTGGTGCTCACTGCAACCTCTGCCTCCCAGGTTCAAGTGATGACCTCGCTTTAACTGTTTTGTTTGTTTGTTTGCTTTGGTTTGGTTTTTTTTTTTTTTTTTTTTTTTTTGAGACGGAGTTTCGCTCTTGTTACCCAGGGGCTGGAGTGCAATGGCGCGATCTTAGCTCACCGCAGCCTCCTCCTCCTGGGTTCAGGCAATTCTCCTGCCTCAGCCTCCTGAGTAGCTGGGATTACAGGCGCATGCCACCATGCCCAGCTAATTTTTGTATTTTTAGTAGAGACGGGGTTTCACCATGTTGACCAGGATGGTCTTGATCTCTTGACCTCGTGATCCACCCTCCTCAGCCTCCCAAAGTGCTGGGATTATAGGCATGAGCCACCGCGCCCGGCCAATTTAACTGTTTTTGTTTTGTTTTGTTTTGCTTTTTTGAGAGGAGTCTCATTCTGTTGCCCAGGCTGGAGTGCAGTGGCCTGATCTCAGCTCGCTGCAACCTCTGCCTCCAGGATTCAAGCAATTCTTCTGCCTCAGCCTCCAGAGTAGGTGGGATTACATGTGCGCACCACCACACCCAGCTAATTTTTCTATTTTTAGTAGAGATGGGGTTTCACCATGTTGACCATGTTTTTCTCTAACTCCTGAGATGCCCTTACCTTGACCTCCCAAAGCGCTGGGATTACAGGTGTGAGCCACCACACCTGTCCTTAATTATCTCTTTACAGACTCTATGTCCAAATACAGTCACATTCTGAGGTATTTGGGGTCAGGACCCCAAAACATGAACTTTTTGTGGAGGACACAGTTCAGCCCCCAACAATGCATTTAACTGATTATTGCCCGTCTCTCCATCTTGGATGAAACTCCAAAAGGACAGGGACTTTGTTACAGTGTCATTTATGTATTATATTATATGTATTTGGTAGTTGAGCTCAGTGAAGATCTGTCAAATGAATCAAAGAATGCATGAATTAGGTCTGTTGTGGTAGCTCACACCTGTAATCCTGACATTTTGGGAGGCTGAGGTGGGAGGATGGTTTGAGGCCAGGAGTTTGAGACCAGCCCAGGCAATGTAGCAAGATCCTGTCTCTAGAAAATAAAATGAAATAACTAGCTGTGGTGGCTGGTAGCTGTAGTACCAGCTACTCAGGAGGCTGAGGTGGGAGGAGGGCTTTTTTTTTTTTTTTTAAAGAGAAAGAAAAAGAATAATAAAAATATATATATATGTATATATGTATGTGTGTCTGTGTGTATATATATATATACATATATATATATACACACACACACACAAAGAATAAAGAGGAAGAAAGAGGAAGAGGGGGAGAGGATGGGGGTGTTGCTTTATTGCCCGGGCTAGAATGCAGTCTAAATATGGGTATGCCTATAATTGTGCTTAATAATGGAGACATGAAAAAATGAGGGAAGAAAATAACAAACAAGCAGCCAACCAATATTTCATTTAAACCTGTAAGTAGGTGTGAAGTGGTGCTGATAAGAGTGTGTATTTTGTGTATTTAAAGTGGAGAGTTCTATAAATGTTAATTAAGTTTACTTGTTCCAGATTCAAGTTCAAGTCCTGGCTGTCGTTGTTAGTTTTCTGTCTCATTGATCTGTCTAATATTAATGTTGAAGTCTCCCACTATTGTGCGGGAGTCCAAGTCTCTTTATGAGTCTTATATATCTGGGTGCTCCTGTATGGGGTGCGTATATATTTAGGATCTTTAGCTCTTGTTGCATTGATCCTTTTATCATTATATAGTGTCCTTCTTTGCTTTTGATCTTTGTTGCTTTAAAGACTATTTTATCGGAGGCAAAAATTGCAACTCCTGCCTTTTGTTCATTTTTTTTATTTTTGCTCTCCATTTGGTTGGTAAATCTTTCTCCATCCCTTTGTTTTGAGTCTTTGTGTATCCTTGCATGTGAGATGGGACTAGATGCAGCATACCGATGGGTTTTGGCTTTTTATCCAATTTGCCTGTCTGTGTTTGGATTGGGGGATTTAGTCCACTTAAATTTAGAGTTAATAATAATATATGTGACTTTAATACTGCCATTTAATGTTAGCTGACTGTTTTGCCCATTAGTTGATGTAAATTCTTCATTATATTGATGCTCTTTACTTTTTGGTATTTTTTAGAAAGGCTGATACTGGTTGTTCCTTTCTATGTGTAGTGGTTCTTTCAGAAGCTCTTGTAAAGCAGGCCTGGTGGTGATGAAATCTCTGAGTGCTTGCTTGTTCACAAAAGATTTTATTTTTCTTTCGCTTATAAAGCTTAGTTTGTCTGGATGTGAAATTCTAGGTTGAAAGTTCTTTTCTAGCCGGGCACGGTGGCTCAAGCCTGTAATCCCAGCACTTTGGGAGGCCGAGGCGGGTGGATCACGAGGTCAAGAGATCGAGACCATCCTGGTCAACACAGTGAAACCTCGCCTCTACTAAAAATACAAAACATTAGCTGGGCATGGTGGCACGTGCCTGTAATCCCAGCTACTCACGAGGCTGAGGCAGGAGAATTGCCTGAGCCCAGGAGGCGGAGGTTGCAGTGAGCCGAGATCGCGCCATTGCACTCCAGCCTGGGTAACAAGAGCGAAACTCCGTCTCAAAAAAAAAAAAAAAAAGAAAGTTCTTTTCTTTAAGGATGTTGAATATTGGCCCCCACTCTCTTCTGGCTTGTAGGGTTTCTGCTGAGAGATCTGCTGTGAGTCTGATAGGCTTCCCTTTGTGGGTAACCTGATCTTTCTCTCTGGCTGCCCTTAGTATTTTCTCCTTCATTTCAACCCTGGTGAATCTGATGATTATGTGCCTTGAGGTTGGTCTTCTTGAGGAATATCTTTGTGGTGTTCTCTGTATTACCCGGAGTTGAATATTGTCCTGCCTTGCTAGGTTGGGAAAACTCCTGAATAATATCCTGAAGCATATTTTCCAGCTTGGATTCATTCTCTTCGTCACATTCAGGTACACCTATCAAACGTAGATTAGGTCTTTTCACGTAGTCCCATGTTTCTTGGAGGAGGGTTTGAGCCTGGGAGGTCCGGGTCTTAGTAAGCTATGATCGTGCCATTGCACTCCAGCCTGGGTGACTGAGACCCTGTCACTAAAAGAAGAGAAAAGAAAATAAAAAAAAGAATCTATTAGGAAGGGAATGAAGGGGGGTCCTTGTCTGCATGCTTTTCCATCTCCAGTGCTATCGTGTTGGCTGCGTGAAGCAAAGAAAGGGCTTTTGAATCACAGCGTCACGTTGCATTCACCAGCCCCCGATCACAACCACAGTGAATGGCCGGGTGCAGTGGCTCAGCCCTGTAGTCCCAGCACTTTGGGAGGTGGACAGATCACCTGAGGTCAGGAGTTTGAGACCAGCCTGCTCAACATGGTGAAACACTGTCTCTACTAAAAATACAAAACTTAGCTGGGCATGGTGGCGTCAGCCTGTAATCCCAGCTACTCAGGAGGCTGAGGCAGGAGAACCTCTTGAACCCAGGAGGCAGAGACTGCAGTGAGCCGAGATCGTGCCATTGCCTGGGCAGCAGAGGGAGACCGTTTCAAGAACACACCCCAAAACAATGAACAACCAAACAGAAAAAAAACACCACAGTGGGGCCAGGGTGCAGGGAGGAAGGAGGGTCAGGAATGGGGCTTGGGGCAGGACTCCAGGATCTGGAGGGGTGCTGGCTGGAGGCATGACTCATCCACAACTCAGACAGCCCTGCAGGACCCGGCCCCTGCCCCGCTCTGCAATTCCATCACGGTCTCTCTCCCCAGCCCCTCCCGTCTCCTAGCTCCAACCCCACTGAGCTTTCTTCTTTGCTTCAAACACCCTGTGTTGCTTCCTCCACAGGACCTTCGTGTCAGCCCCTGCTTCTGCTCGGAGCGGCTGCGGCTTGGTTTTGTTCACGAGTGGGTTCTTTTCATGCTTCGGGTCCCAGCTCCAGTGGCTTTTCTCGACACCATCCAAAGTCCCTGCTCCACCCCTGGGGGCCCCTTTCTCTGTTTCTATTTCCTTCCTCTCCTGCCTCACCCTCTGAGATGATCCTGTCTCCTCATTTGTTTATTTTGGACATTGCAACCTGGCAGCCTACAGGCCCTCGGTGGCCAGGGGAGGTGCTTTGATTGCCGGGCAGAGTATAAAGATTTCTCCGAGTTGACATTTAAAGGTTGGGAGAGAAGTCCCATAAAAATAATAATCATGTAAGCAATTATGGGCCGGGCGTGGTGGCTCACGCCTGTAATCCCAGCACTACAGGTGGCCAAGGTGGGTGGATCGCTAGAGGTCAGGAGCTCAAGACCAGCCGGCCAACATGGTAAAACTGCGTCGCTACTGAAAAAAAAATTAGCCAAGCATGGTGGTACACGTCTGTAATCTCAGCTACTGGGGAGGCTGAGGCAGGAGAATCAGGAGGTGGAGGTTGCCATGAGCTGAGATTGCACCATTGCACTCCAACCTGGGCGACAGAGCCAGACTCTGCCTCAAAAAATTAAAAAAAAATTTTTTTTTTAAATCTAATGAACCAACCTCATTCACCCGTAGTGCTGCAAACAGCAGAACGCATTTCTCCCACCTAGCTGTGACTCGGTATCCGCCTTTGCATCATTTCCAGCGCGCGGTTCTGTGGCATCGATTCCCTTCACGTTGCCGTCACCCCCACCCCCCTTCAGAACCATGTTCATCCTCCCCACTGAAACTCCAGACGCATTTAACACCAACTCCACTTCCTCCTCTTCCCTCCGGCCCTTGGCAACCACCCTTGTACGTTCTGTCTCTATGACTTTGTGTCTTGTTTCTTTATCTCCAGCTTCCCAAATGCTGCCTGCTATATAGTAGGTGTTTAGTAAGTATTGGTTGAGTGCACGCGTGGGAAGGCGCCAGGGACAGCGGGAGGGCCGGGAGAGGAAGGCGGAGACGTCCAGACGCAGCTGGGGTCCCCGGCCTGACCCGCCCGTCCTCTCTCCCACAGGCCTGCTGCTGTTGGTGAGCCTGGAGGTGTTCCGGCATTCCGTGAGGGTCCTGCTGCAGAGAGTCAGCCCCGAGCCTCCCCCGGCCCCACGCCTCACCTACGAGTACTCCTGGTCCCTGGGCTGTGGCGTGGGGGCCGGCCTCATCCTGCTGCTGGGGGCTGGCTGCTTTCTGCTGCTCACACTGCCTTCCTGGCCCTGGGCGTCCCTCTGTCCCAAGCGGGGCCACCGGGCCACCTAGAGCCACACGTGAGACTTCTCTAAGCAACCACCAAGCTCTTTGATCTTCTCCATCATGCCCCCAAGATCTTTCCGCCCCATCTCCTAGAGAAACTGTGTTCTCCCCGCTCGGGGCCTGTGTTCTTTGACACACCCGCCTCCTGTCCCCTCATCCCGTCTCCCTCTGTAAATACGTTTTTCTCGGTGGCTGTATGTGGGTTGCTTGGGGGTGGGATGGGAAGAGGCTCTTTGCAAACGAGGGTCCCCAGGGAAGACTGGCGGGGACCTGATGGGGTAACGGGTGTGGGGTTGGGGGGCTGGGGTTGGGGGGTCTTGGGTGGGAGTTGGAGTTTCCCATGTCTGGATCAATTCACTTGCCGGGAGAGACTTTTTACAACTCGTCTGCAACTCAGGGTGGGGTTGCGGGAGACAGGGAAGGATGCCAGGGTCTGACCTGGCTGTGTCTGATTTGGGATTAAAGGTTTGGAAATTTAACCCCTTTGGTTTGGAGTCTGTCTGTGACGTGATCACACATTCCGGGTTAAAGAAAAGGAACTCCTCCTACCCTCCAGAAACATACCAGGTATAAGCCCAGAGGTCATGTGAAAACAAAACCATATACAATGGCTGAGAGTGTGGAAACTACGATATAGATAGAGAGAGAGAGATATAGATAGATACATATATATCTTTCTAGATAGATAGATAGATATCTATACAGATAGATAGATAGATAGATAGATAGATAGATAGATAGATAGATATTTTTTTTTGAGACGGAGTTTTGCTCTGTCACTCTGGCTATAGTGCAGCAAAACAGTCTTGGCTTACCGAAACCTCCGCCTCCTGGGTTCAAGCAATTCTCCTGCCTCAGCCTCCCAAGTAGCTGGGATTACAGGTGCCTGCCACCACATACAGCTAATTTTTATGTGTTGTTTGTTTTTTGCTTAGAAGAGATGGGTTTCACCATGTTAACCAGTCTGCTCTCGAATTCCTGACCTCAAGTGATCCGCCTGCCTCGGCCTCTCGAAGTGTGGGATTACAGGCATGAGCCACCACGCCCTGCCCAGATTTCCCCTTTACACTTGACTCTCAACATACTGGATTAAGATTGACCCCAATGACCTCATTTTAACGTGGTTACCTCTGTAAAGGCCCTATCTCCAAATGAGGCCACATTCTGAGGTACTACGGGGTTAGGATACACCATATATCTTTTTGTTGTTGGTGGTGGGGAACATTCAACCTTTAACAATGTGTAGATTCTAAATTGTGTTTTCTGGCCGGGCGTGGTGGCTGACACCTGTATCCCAGCACTTTGGGGCGGTCCGAGGTGGGCAGATCACCTGAGGTCAGGAGTTCGAGACCAGCCTGGCCAACATGGTAAAACTCCATCTCTACTAAAAATTAAAAAAATTAGTTGGGCATGGTGGTGGGCGCCTGTAATCCCAGCTACTCGGAAGGCTGAGGCTGGAAAATTACCTGAGCCCAGGAGGCGGAGGTTGCAGTGAGCTGAGGTCGCGCCACTGCACCCCAGCTTGGGACACAGAGCGAGACTCCGTCTCAGAAAAAAGGGGTGGGGCAGTGGGATTGGTTCAGGAACCTTCTGAAGAAGGAGATGCTAACAGAGAGAGCAGAGAAAGTCAAGGGCGTTCCAGGTGGGCAGGAGGGCTTGGAGAGAAGATGAAAAACGTTATGAAGCTCTGAGTGAGAACATGGGAACACTGATGTTCAGAGTGAGATACAGGAATAGTGAGGGGGGTTGCGGTGAGCTGTCTTATGAAGGCGGTGGGGAGACTTGATGCTCGGAGAGTAGCTCAGCCTTTATCCTGAGGGCACTGAGGAGCCATGGGGGGTTGTTGAGCAGACATGCTGGTATCAGGTCGAGGGGTTGACACAGTTTCTTATTCTTGAAGTGACAAAATTGCAGATGGCGAAGACAGACCAGTGGTCGCCAGTGGTTAAGAATAGGATGAGTCTTGACCCTATGTGGTGGCTCACACCTATATAACCCCAGCACCTTGGGAGGCCAAGGTGGGCTGATCACCTGAGGTCAGGAGTTCAAGACCAGCCTGGCCAACATGGTGAAACCGTGCCTCTACTAAAAAAAAAAAAAAAAAAAAAAAAAAAAAAAAAAAAAAAAAAAATGCTGGGTGTGGTGGCTCATGCTTGTAATCCCAGCACCTTGGGAAATGCCTGTTCTCATTTAGGTTTGTGGGCACAGGCCCTAGGGTGGAGCCCTCGCCAGAGACATTGCCCTTCTCTACCCAGCAGATTCCTGCTCCCCTCCTGTATCAAATGCTTTTTCTGTATCTATTGCGATGATCAGTAATTTTTTTTTTTTTTCAAAACAGAGGCTAGAGTTTTGAAAACAGTCACCGAGGCTGGAGTGCAGCTGTGCGATCTTGGCTCGCTGTAACCTTTGCCTCCTGGGTTCAAGCAATTCTTGTACCTCAGCCACCCCAGTCTCTGGAATTAGAGGTGTGCGCCACCACACCCAGCTAATTTTTGTATTTTTAGTAGAGATGGGATTTCACCATGTTGGCCAGGCTGGTCTCCAACTCCTGACCTCAGGTGATCTGTCCGCCTCCACCTCCCAAAGTGCTGGCGTTACAGGCATTGATCAAGTGATTTTTGTTTCTAATTCTGCATTCAACAAGAAGTGGGCCAGGCATGGCGGCTCACACCTGTAGTCCCACCACTTTGGGAGACCCAGGTGGGCGGACCACCTGAAGTCGGGAGTTTGAAGCCAGCCTGGTCAACATGGTGAAACCCCATCTCTACTAAAAATACAAAAAGTAGCTTGATGTGATGGCACATGTCTGTAGTCTCAGCCGCTCAGGAGGCTGAGGCAGGAGAATCTCTTGAACCTGGCAGGTGGAGGTTGCAGTGAGCCGAGATCATGCCACTGCACTCCAGCCTGGAGACTGAGACGTTGATCTCTTAGAAAAAAACAGCAACAAGAAAAAAAATAAATAGAAGTGTCCCTCAGTGCCCTGGGGACCTGGGAGCCGGGCTGGCGTGAAACCCCAGCTCCCCGATTTATAGCTAGAGCAACAGCTTCACCTCTTTCTGTCTTGGTGTCTTCATCCCTAAAGACGGTGCATGAGCTCAGTCCCGTACCCACTCCCAGCAGTCCCTGTGAGGAGTCAACACCACCGGAAGCCCTGCAAAGCTCCCAGGAGACCGCCTGGCGCATGGTCGCAACTCCATCTGCCTTTGCGGTTATTTTTTATCCAGTGGCACTCAGAGAGTAAACAGGGACCCCCCCCCCCGAAAAGCTGACAGCCTGCTGATGGGAACAGACACTAATCACATCATTGCACTAATGAGGGTGCAATTATAAACGGAGGTAAGTGCTGGGACACAAGAGAGTCCAAACAGGAGACAAGATCATTCACAATTTTCTTTTTTTAGCTGTTTGACTTTGTGCCCAGTCAGGTCAGGGAAGCCTCAGGAGACATCTGCCATGGGGAGGGCTCGGGGCAGGTAGTTGGTCTTGGGGAAATGGCTCTTTCTTTTTCTTTCTCTCATTCTTTCCTTCTTTCTTTCTTCCTCCTTTCTTCCCTTCCTGCCTCTCTCCTTCCTTCCTTCCTTCCCAGCTCCCTCCCTCCCTCCCTCTCTTCCTCTCTCTCCTTCTCTCTCTTTTTCTCTCTCTCTTCCTTCCTTCTTTCTTTCTTCCAGAGTCTCACCCTGTGACCCAGGCTAAAGTGCAATGGCACAATCATGGCTCACTGCAGTCTTGGCTTCCGAGGTTCAAGCAATTCTCATGTCTCAGCCCCCCAAATACCTGGGACTACAGGCACACACAGCCACACCCAGTTAACTTTTTTGTATTTTGTGTGTGTGTGTGTGTGTGTACGTGTGTGTAGAGATGGGGCTCTCCCAGTGTTGCCCATGTTGGTCTTGAACTCCTGGCCTCAAGTGATCCACCCGCCCTGGCCTCCCAGAATGCTGAGATTACAGGCACGAGCTACTGTGCCCAGCCACTCTTCATTAAAAAATTATAAATAAATAGAGATGGGGTCTCACTCCGTTGCCCAGACTGGCCATAATCCACCGCACCTTGCGGGAATGTCTCTTTGTCCAGTAGTGTCTTTATTTCGAAAACTCTTTCTTACCTGACGTCAGGGCAGGCAAGGTTCAAAGCTAGAGACTCAAGAGAAAAGGGAGCTGGCTGGGGGCAGTGGCTCACGCCTGTAATCCCAGCACTTTGGGAGGCCAAGATAGGTGGATTACCTGAGGTCCGGAGTTTGAGACCAGCCTGGCCAACAAGGAGAAACCCCTGTCTCTACTAAAAATACAAAAATTAGCTGGGCGTGGTGGCAGGCATGTGTAATCCCAGCTACTCCGGAGGCTGAGGCAGGAGAATTGCCTGAACCCAGGCGGTGGAGGTTTCGGTGAGCCGAGATCGCGCCATTGCACTCCAGCCTGGGTAACAAGAGTGAGACTTTGCCTCAAAAAAAAAAAAAAAAAAAAAAAAAGGCGAGAGAGAGAGAAAAGGGAGCTGTCAATGTTCCCCTAAACTCTCCCTGAGAATACTGTGCGTGGTCCCCCACAGCCAGTTTGGGGTTCAGTTCTGGGTTGGGAGAGACCAGAGGGAGGGGAAGGCAAAGATATAACGTAGACTTCTGAGAAGAGGGAGAAGGAAGTACACACCCCTTGAAGACGAATGACTGGAATCCCATCATCCTATGAAATAGTGTATTGTTGGGGCTCACAAAATGATATTCCCAAAGCATGATACTTGTCAGGTGGAGTATTTGAACTAAAGGAGATTAAAGGTCTCATAGGCGGTCAGGCGTGGTGGCTCACACCTGTATTCCCAGCACTTTGGGAGGCCAAGGAGGGTGGATCACATGAGGTCAGGAGTTCGAGACCAGCCCAGCCAACATGGTGAAACCTCATCTCTACAAAAAATACAAAAAACTAGCTGGGCATGATGGTGTGTGCCTGTAGTCCCAGCTACTCCAGAGGCTAAGGCAGGAGAATCACTTGAAACCTTAAAGTGGAGTTTTACAGGCACCCACCACCAAACCCAGTTAAAAATAAAAAAAAATAATTTTAATTACAAAATTAAAAATAATTTTTGTATTTTTAGTAGAGACTGGGTTTTGCCATGTTGGCCAGGCTGGTCTTGGACTCCTGACCTCAGGTGATCTGACCACCTTAGCCTCCCAAAGTGCTGGGATTGCAGGTGGAGCCACAGTGCCTGGCCCGTCTTCTGGATATAAGCCATTTTCATGGGTGAGAGGAGAGACATCTCATTGTAGTTTAGACAGGGATCGTGGCGCACACCTGTAGTCCCAGCTACTCGCGAGGCTGAGGTGGGAGGATGACTTGAGCCTGGAGGCTGCAGTGAGCCATGATCATGCCCCCGAATTACAGGCTGGGCAACAGACCCTGCCCCCAAAAAATAAAATAAAAATCACATCTGTAATCCCAGCACTTTGGGAGGTATAGGCGGGCGGATCACGAGGTCAGGAGTTCAAGAG